TCGGATTCGTGTAATGCCGTTTTTATTTTTTTTTTTTTTAGTTTTCATCTCATCTATTTGGTAACGTGAATTGCACCACCAACTATTCGGCATTCCCTTTTGTAAACCATCCTATACAAACTATTTTAGTTGTAATTATATGTGATTATGATCTTGCTTTCTAGGACTCCTTAAAATTACATCAATAAATGAATAATATATTTCTTTTCTTTTTTTGGAATATTTTTTTTTAGATAAGATTCAGATCGATAAGATACCGCTATTCTCAATAACAATGTCTTTCTATTACCAACATTTAGTTTCTGTGTAGCATAGTTGCATCTTGTTATTGCATTTTTTTCTTGTTGTTATTCGTAAGGCCATTGTTTTTTTTGCGAAATATTTAGAACAATTCGATTATAAAATGTTGAGAGAGAGAGCGAGACAGAAAGAGAGAGAGAGAGGGCTGGCTGGTGGGATAAAGATTGGGTGAATAGCAACTAGTTTACCCACCTTCTCGCCGTTGTTATTGTTTACCCGCTTATATTATTTTTAATTGTTTTTCAGTTCCCGCCCACCAACCTTGCGACACGCGCGCGCTTTTCCCCCTCTTTACCCCCCACGTTTTCACGTATTACCCCCCACCCCCAATTTTGCGCCAATCGAGTTATCAGAGAAATTCTCGAGCTGATAAGCAGATAGAGATACACGACGTGTGCGGATGGATGGTGATAAAGCTGAGGTGTTGCTGGGGATATATTCAATTCAGGTGCTGCTGCCAGGGTTTCGACTTTATTTCATGGTTTTCTTTATTTTTTTGTAATTGAATTTACAAACGTAAACGAAGTGTAACGAACCGAACCGAACTCAAGTTAACTGAGCTGTTCCGTTTTTTCCCCTCTTTTCTTTTGTGCATAAATGGTATTTCTTTATACATTTTTTATTAGTCATTCGATTTATTGGTGGGATTTTGTATGTGTATTAACTCACCAATCATTTTGATAATTTATTGGGATTTTTAAACCACATGTGTTTACTTAATTTCACAAGTAGGTTTTCCATTTTATTTTATTTTGCTTGTGTATCTGAAAGGAGGGAGACTGTGAAATGAAGTTGTCTTTGACACGAAACTGCTGCCGTCGCTCCATATGGCTTTGCCACGCCCCCTCTTCAGAGGCCCTCGCCTCTGAATTTTTGCCCCTCTTTTCCGCCTCGTTTTTTTACCCCCCTTCCCTCCCTCTGCCCATTTTCCACCTCGTTTTCCGCCCTCCTTCTTCCGCATACACGGAGCAAGTCAAAAGCGCGCTCAATGACCCCCAACAGCGTCCTACATTCGCGACTTGGCGCCTCTTTTCCATCCCCTTTTGGAGCCCACCCCTCCCCTTAACTTTTCCACCCACACCCCCCTGCTGTTGCTCCCCTTTTTCCATTTTTTTTCTTTCTTTCTTCGCTTTTGTGTGCACTTGTCGTTTGACAACGTTTTCGTCTTTCTTTGCCGCTTTCGCTCTTTTTCATCGCTGTTTTTTCCCCGCTTTCCCTTGTTCATTTTCCTCCCTCTTGTCAAGTGCAGCAGCGAAAATCCCGTTTCCCCTCGCCTTGCCTCTTTTTTGAGACCAAATTTCAATTCGATTAATCAAAAATACAATTCAGGTCAACCTTGTGTAAATTGCAGGAAGGATTAGAAAATTAGTAAAACTACTGAGTTAGGTTTTTAACTTTAAAAAGTTAATCTTTTATATTTAAAAGATGATCATAATCTATACTCATTTTGTAGTAGTTATGCACTGGGAACTAGTTATATTATCAGGAACTGACTGTATTAAATAATATGAACCTAAACCCCCCTTACTTAGACCCACTTAATTGTTTGCCAGTTAAACAAAATTCGACGTATGGGCCTATACGACGGACTGTAATAACACAAATAAAAACATTGGTTAAAGAGCCTTGAACTGGAAACCCCCAAAATAAATGGAGTGGGCGGCAAACAAACAAAACCAAAGGTTGGTTGACCAAGTTTACTTTTCCGGACGGGGGAAGACAAAAAGAGGCAAGGGATTAACGCGTAATAAGTGTGCCCCAATTTCTGCTTGAATTCAGCGAGGAAGTCGCCACATATTTAATGTGAAGAATGGTAGGGAGGAATTCGGAGAGGGGTGGTTAACACAAAAACGACCAAAAAAAAACATCGAAAACGTGCGCAAAACGAAAAGGCAAGATAAGACAGCGAGGCGAAGGACAAAGAAAGAACACTACAAGTGACAAACCCCAAGTTTTTTGTATTTATTCATTTTTTTGTTTTTTGACCAGTTATCAGCCGCATGCCACAATAATATAAATGTGTTGTTGCTACATATACACTCAAACACATGGCTGGCTCAATGTCAAAAAGCAATGATTTCTTCTCATTGTTCGGTGAATAAAACGTTTTACCCACCACAGCACTTTAATGACGTCACAAACTGATCATCAGTTATATGTACGCGCATTATTCTCGCTTGGCTTATGATTAATCAGGCTTATAAATAGCTTTGAGCTTCATCCTCGTGCCTCTGATTAATACAGGATACCATACTCATCTCGGTTTGTGGGAATTTTTAGTACAGATATATGAGTATTTCTTTTGTATTTAGTAAGTTGTTAATTTTATAAATCTCAGAAGTTTTGTGTCATTTTTGGATTCCTTTTTACTGTTCGAAAATTTCTAGGCCAACAAAACCATTAGAAAAATGTATAAAGTACTTTTCCTAGTAACTGCATTTTCTTGCGACTGAAAATACCTTTAAAGTGTTATCAGATTTTGTTATTAAACCGGAACTGACGTGGTGAAAAAAATCACCTTCTACTCGAGAACTTCACCTTCTGTTGTTTGGTAACAATGAAAACTCAGATATATTGGTAACTATGACAAATGCCGCTTTAAGGTTAAAGGTTTTTTTTTTAATTATTATTTAGCTTGGAAAATGTATGCAGTGTGTACATACTTTATTTTTTTTCTTTCTGATCAATCCAGTTAAGAGCTCCTCTGATTTGTAGCCCTTGTTGGCCCTTTCTAACTCTGTTTTGTCTCCGTTTTGTGGGCCAACACTTGTGCAATCCACCGCTCCTCTCTTTTTGTTGGCCATCTTCTCCTCCGTTGCCTTTTGGCACCTCATTTGGCCAGCAACTACTACTACTACCACTCTCTTGGCTGCTTTTGCTGCTTGCTGCTCCCATTTTGTTTTGGCCGTCCATCATTTCAAGTTAACGGTTGCGCGTGCATTAAAAGCAACAACAGCAACAACAGCAACAGCAGCAACAACGAAACTAACACACTTTTTGCCCCCCGAACCGAACCGAACCGCCACTCCCCCGCGTCTTTGTTGTACGCTTTCTGGTTTTTTGGTTTCTATAAGTTGAGCGATTTTTTTTGTTGCTTCTTCGTTTGGGTTTGGTTTCGTTTTGTTTTTGTACAGATTCCTCCATACTTTCGCTTTTTTTTTTGTTTCTCCCCCCGTAAACACCCTACCCCATATTACATTTTTATTTATTTTTTTGCGGGTCCCTTGGCTGTGCCGCTTTTTTGGCATTCTTGTTGTCAGTTATATTGCTTTTGTTGCGTCGCTTTAATAGTCAACATTGACATGCTCAGCTGCGCATTTTAATGCGTTGTGCCTGCCATGCCAGCCCAGCACCTATCACCCACCCCCCTTTTCAATATATGTACATATACCACCTGTACACGGCTATGAACTTCCACAAATTAGGTTATTAATTGTAAACTTGACTAAATAGGAATTATATAGATTTTGAATTGTCTTTCTGTTGTTTACATAATACGCTATTGAAAACAAAATCTTAGAAGCAATACATATAAATATAAATATATATATAAATATTTAGGAAATCTTTAAAGAACGTTGAATCAAACAAAATGAAATGTGGTCCAGAAAGCAATTTGTAATCCCCATTAAGGTATTTTTTTTCTACCTGTACCGTGGCATTTTCTTCAACCTTATTTTAACGTTATTATTTTGTGCCTTTTCTCTGCCGTTGTGACTGCTACGTTTTTTCCAACTTTAAATGGTTGCCATATTGGCTGGAGAAGCAACAAGAAAAGTGTGGAGAAATGAGGGGCGGAGGGGCGCCCCCTCCCCCTCCCCCACCATACACCATATACCATACACCGTACACTGTGCTTTTATTGAAAGAGAAATTAACTGAAATTTACTTCGCTGCTGGTCACCGAGAAAAGCCAAAAGGCCCCGGTGCTGCCACAGTTGTTGGCCCAGTTAATTAAAAGCGTACCCCCCGGCTACCCACATTTCCATACAAATCCACCCGTTAAGCCACCACCCCGTGGAAAACCCCTTGGAAACAAACACTCTGATGTCAGGGTTGAGTTGAGTTCTGTTTTGGGATGGTTTTGTGGGGGGGGAGGGCTATATTATCGATGGGCGTTGAAATGTTTATGGCAAGATTACACCGTTTACTGATTTGACACAGCTCGCTATGTGTCGTGGCGTCGGCTTTCGTGACGTCGATAGGTGGGGATAAGGCCAGGAAGAAGGGATTTGGGTTTATGAGGTGTTACTTACCTTACCTTACCGATGGTTAAGGATTGATGTGAGGTCTCTGTTTCATGGATTTAATATTGATTAGTTTCTAACTAAACTTTTTAAATCAGCAAATTTGATTAATTGACTGACAAAAAGTAATATCGATTTAAGATCAACTCAATTATATCTCAATAATTGAAAATTAAATTGTACAATGCTATCAACAGCAAGCAATATCAAGTTTATATCGACTAATTAATAACTGAAATATTATATCTATCTTTGTAAGATAAACTTTAAACGATTATTTATCGGGATGGCCTAGTTATCGTTTTAATCGAAATCCTCTCAAAAAGAGCCAAGTTGGCCCAATTGAGTCTTTTAGATAGTTGCATGCCCTGCCCATTGTATTCCCTACATTTATCTGTTGTTACCACCGAGCGTTGACTAACTTTCCCTTCCACTTTCTCTCTCTTTTTGCAGAACCAGCGACAGCGGCTCAACCACCGAACTGGCGCGTGAGAATCTCTTCCAGCCGAACATGGACGATGCCAAGCCGGCCAGCAATAACACTAGCAATAATAATAATAATAATAGCAAGTCCTCGTCGTACGGCGATGCCTATAGCTCCTCCAACGGATCGTCTTCGTTGGGTCGCGGTGGTGGAATGTGCTCCTTGGAGAATCAGCCGCCTGAACGTCAGCAGCTGGCCACGCCCGCTGGGGCATCCGCTCCCGAGGCGGCCAATTCGGCGCCACTTTCCGTTTCCGGTTCGGCATCGGAGCGGGTGAACAATAGTAACACCAACAACAACAACAGCAACAACAGCAACAACAGCAACAACAGCAACAACAGCAACAACAACCGAAAACGTCACCTGTCCAGCAGCAATTTGGTCAACGATCTGGAGATACTCGATAGGGAACTGAGCGCCATCAATGCGCCCATGTTACTAATCGATCCGGAGATCACCCAGGGTGCCGAGCAGCTGGAGAAGGCGTCCATGTCCGCCAGCAGGAAGAGATTGAGGAGCAATAGCAGCAGCGAGGACGAGAGCGATCGATTGGTGCGCGAGGCCCTGTCCCAGTTCTATATACCGCCGCAGCGCCTGATCTCCGCCATTGAGGAATGCCCGCTGGATGTGGTTGGCCTGGGCATGGGTATGGGAATGAATGTGAACGTGAATGTGGGCGGCATCGGTGGTATTGGGGTGACAGCAGCTGGCGCTGGCGTCGAAGTTTCCGGTGGCAAACGGATGAAGCTGAACGACCATCATCATCTCAATCACCATCACCATTTGCACCATCACCATCACCTGGAGCTGGTCGATTTCGATATGAATCAAAATCAAAAGGATTTCGAGGTGATCATGGACGCCTTGAGGCTGGGAACGCCAACGCCGCCGAGCGGCGCCAGCAGCGATTCCTGCGGACAGGCGGCGATGATGAGCGAATCGGCCAGCGTTTTCCACAATCTGGTGGTCACCTCGCTGGAGACATGAAAGTACCAGTGAATCCAGAATCCCGAGCAGCAGACAAAGATTAAAGAGTTTAGATTTTATATTAGACACCACTTGCATACAGTTTTTAAGGAAACATTTAGGCTATGACACATATACTAACCTAAGCTATTATAACATATAGAAAGGAAAGGAAAAGAAAGGAAGATCGGACGGATTGGCCAGTATTACTCATTAATGGCAGTCGCGATTTGTACAAACAAATACACAAAAAAAAAAAAGATAGTTGTAGGCTAAAGAGAAAAACAAAACAAAAATCAAAGAATTTGTAGTCAATACAGCAGAAACAAACAAAAACAAAAAACCAGAACAATCTATAAGTTAAATTTAATGAAAAGAAAAACAAACTCCATACTTGTAACACATCAACAAAAATTCAGTTGTGGTTTCCATTTCGGTTTCGTAGAGAGCTCCGTTTATATGAAAAAAAAATTAAACAAATAACTTCCAATTTTAAAAAAAAAAACCAAAAAAAAAAACAAAAAAAAAAACTATGTAAGGCAAGCACATTCCACATTGCTAAACATTATATCCCTTAATTTTGTTCCTACTGAATTTTTGTTTTTTTTCCACCATATATCTCACATGCGCAAGATATCAAAAAGTTATATTGCATTTAGGAAACACAACTATATATTTTTAAATGAAAACACTTAGAAGTTCTCCTAGTCACAACAAAAAAAATAAAACAGAAAACAAACAAACAAGAAAACTGAGACATGAAAGCAAATTGAAATAGCAATTTAAATAAAAAACAAAACACTAAAATATTATACAAAAAAAGTGCAATTAGAATTTTTTAAAATATTGAAAGCAAGCCTCAAAAACAAAAAAAACCAACAAAAGTGCATTCAAAAAGATTTAAACACAAATCGGGCAAATTAACAAATTATGAAAGTAATAAGTAGTAATTTAATAAACAATTTAAGGCAAACAAACAAAAACCACAAAAAAAACAAAACAAAACAATTTTTTCTTTGAAAAAAAATTACGGCTGTGATAGAATTTTAAGTTTTTTGGCTAAACAAAAAAATAAGAAACCACAAAAAGTTACCATTAAAAAGGAAACAAAAAGTAATACAAAAAAAAATACCAAGCATAAAATCATGAATATTATGATCTATGTGTGAAATGAACATTTAGTATTAGTAAAAACAAAACAAAACAAAACTAATTGTGTAGAAGAAAATCGCGAGCTGTACTTTCTTTCAGCAAAAGAGAAGCGAAAGAGAGCATCTCTCAACTTTCGCTCGCTTGGCTTTCATTGATTTTATATATATGTATACAGATATAAAAATATTTTATTTTTTTTTTGCATTTTCTATAAGTCGCCTTGCCTCGCCTAAGCTTTCGTTTTCGTTTCAAGTCTCTCGCTTTTGTTTTCGTTCGCGTCTTTGGCCCAAAAGAAACCAGACCACATCCCAATCTGTTCCCCCAACGGTAAAGATATATATTCCTTTTTTTTTAAGCGGAACATTAAGGGCGGGAAAGTCAAAGACTTATGACTCTAAGAATCTACAGAGCAGGTCCTTCATCGATCACCATGTTTTTACTGTTGTCCCCCCCATTAAAACACATTTTGTTTAATGCTTAAGTTTTTTTATACGATTATTTTTGATATGATTATGTAATTATTGTGCGTTTTTAACTAGAAGAATTATCCATATGTATTTCCATTTTAGTTAATATTCCTACATACAGATGTACATTATATATATATACATATATATATATATATATATATAGTGTTCTGCCCGATCCCGTATTGATCGCGTCGCAGACAAACTATTAAGCATTCAAAGCTATGCAACAAAAACAAAATAAATTATAAAAAAAAATTACAAAAAAGTATGTTTTTATTTCATTTTGTTAATTTATTAAATGGTTTTGATTTTGCAAGGTGGGAAGGAAATTTTGGTTTGATATGCGTTTTTTATGCTCCATTTTCGACGTTTTACTTTTGATATCGATATTGTTTTTGTTATCGGTTTGTAACTTCTTAATTTGGCGTCTCTTGGTCTCATACGATGGTTATTATCGATAACGGTTGCCCATAAACTGTGAGATCATCGTTACTGCTTTGAGCGCCGAATATTCGTCTGTTGTTGACCCAGCCCAGGGTTAAGCCACTGGCTTTTGTTTTGTTTATTCATATTTGGGGGTCAAATTTATTGAAAGCAAAACGATCAACACACTCGAAATTGTTCCGTTGACTGCATTCCGCTGGATGTATTTTTGTATTTTTGCTTTGAGTGCCAAATTTTAGGACCGACGCTCTCCGGCTTTTAAATGGGTCTCTGGCTTAGCTTTCGGTTTCGCTTTATTTCTGTTTGTTTCGGGCTTTGGGTTTTTAGTTTTTTGGCCAATGCCGCACTCGTTCAACGACTCTTGATTATTAGCCTTGGCTAAAAGATTTGTGGCTTCCAGTCCGATGGATCTGAATCATTATAATGGTCTTAATGGGGGAGTTTTTGTGCACTGCTAGATCTTCAGGCAGTAGAAACAAAATTCCACGACTTCCTATGTTATTAAACAAAATAATTGCATTGTTTTACCAACATATAATTTCTTTATTCTTTAAAATCCAAAAACAAGTGTAATCTTATGGATGTATGGCAAGAACAATTGATTTAAGCAGAAATAAAATTAACTTATATTATATTAAAAACAAATATAATGGATCTGATGCGATTTGAGCACTTATTATTAAATGGAACCAACACTTAAAACCAGCCAATTTATTTTGTCAATTAAAGAGTTCACTTAAGTTTTTTGAAAGCGTTAACCTCTAAAAAATTAGTTATACATGTAAAACAAGAAAACAAATCAATTAATTTCAATGAAGATGTCGTTATATTAAAAGAAGAAATGGGGGAACAGAAAATAAAAAAATGTAAAGTGGGCCATTTATGATTTGCCAACTGAATAATACCTCTTAATCTATGGACCAGTCTCTCTAGCACATACACATAACTATATTAACTTGATTTCCAATCAATGAATTGTAGTCACAAAGTTGGAAAACACGGCTTTCCACATTCGTTTTTAATTTGAATGTTCCAAATGATTTAACTTCATAGAGATTATATATATATATATATTTAGTATATACATACATGTAGCGGAGTTAAGGATACATAAGTGCTTTTTAATGGAATATATAGACAGCAACAGAGAAATAACAACTCACAACGTGAGACAAGTAACATTGTATTGAACGACAAATGACATATGAACTAAATATACAGAGCCTAGATGTACGTATTTATTATGAGTTGCTTTTAGTGTGATAATTCATTATCGAAGGACATAAGTGAACAATTTGCAAATAAATTCTAAGAAAAGCATGTATATATGTTTTCTTCTATAATTTGTTTCATTAATTCAAATGTTTAGGATAAAGATTTATCTGGGCTGTGTGATCATCAAACGTCGATTTTAGTGTGATACTGATGTGGGTTTTCCAAGTGCCATTTGAGCATTTCGATCTGTGGAGGTAACAAATGGAAATTGTTTATTGTAATTGGAAAGTACGCTCCTTTTAAGTACCCACCAAGGAGGCCCATATCGGCCTCGTAGAGAATGCGATTGAACTGAAACTGGACAGAACTGCGAATGCGAGGCGGATAGTTGGCCAGCTTGCAGGCCACATACTTCATGTAGAGGGCTGAATCATCGTTTTTACTGACACTATCCGTGGTATCTGGCTCCCCATTCTCCGACTTTTTCTCTAGCTTCTCTTCGGCATTCTCCTCCGCATTTTCATAAAATTTTTCCAGCTCCTCGGGATGACTACTACTGGAGGCTTGCTCTTGAACCAAATCCTCGGTTGAGTCATCTATCAAATCCAGATTAATTTCCTGGTCCTCTGATCTCTGTTTTTTCGGTGGCTCGAATTCGGCTCGAAACTCTCGAAAAGCTGAGCGATAGGGTCTTTTACGGGGATCCTCCTCCACGAACTCGCAATCACTGCTCAAATCCTCCAATTCCGCATCGGAAAACGATCCAAAACTGTTCTCCGAAAAATTGCACTGAGAAGTAAGAAAAGTTATTACTTTTATAGTCTTTCAATGCTGCGTCGGGGTCACCAAAACTTCCTTTCTTCTTGTTTTATCTTGGCTATACACATAAATTGATAGTTATATTTCAGCTCCTAGTGTACAAAATATTTAAACTATTTTTCGGAAATTTTTGGGCACCTTAGTACAGATTGCATTAAGTCTCAAAAGTTTATTGGTATCGAATTTTATGTGGAAGTAGCTATTTTTTTAAAAAGTAAAACGTAAACTTTTCGAGGGTATGCCACTGTGAAATCGGGTTTCAATGGGTATCGTTATGTAAGAAATTAAGTCAAGAAACGGCTACTGATAAATGTCTCTTCCGTGTGTCATTTTACATAAGTCATGGGCTATTGTGCGTTCTCAATTGGAAATTAACCTCAGGCTCTCTGTTTATATTTAATTTTGATTTGAGCTGAAGAATAAAGTCAATATTACTCTCTTTCTCTCTCTCTGCTCTGTGTTTTTTTCTTCGCTCGCGCTCTTTTCTTTTATCTTATCTGGCGCTCTTTTCTTGTTTTCAATTGTGGTTGCATTGCAACACTGATAGCTTTAGAGTGGACCTGAATTAACAGTGTGAGATCTTGGTTTAAAAAACAATTAGGTTATGTATACCAATACAGTTTACAAATAAACCACTATAAGCACTATAAATATAATACTTGTGTAAATCTGTATAATATTTTCTATGGAAAACGCAAATTATTGAGTATTGACCTACTGATCTACTGGCGCATAAATTTAAAAGGTTTGGTTTTTGGGATCTTTAGATTTATATATTTTTTGTTTCCTGTTTCTTTTTTAAAGTGCAATCAAAGGAAACTTTAAATGTTGTGAGAGTCTAATTTGTTGTTATTGAAATGTACTAAAATTCAAAATGAAAAGGACCAAAATAGGATTTTCATTTTTTCCCAGCTGAATATAACTTAAAAAGTAGTTATGTTGAGGTTCACCCTGGAGCGAGTATACCTTTCTAGTCTTTTCGCTCTCCTCAGCTGCGGCATAGTGATTTTTGTTGGACGGCATTAGAAAGGCGAAGTGAGCGGCCCACCACCTTCGACAGGAAGTTCCGCGCCGCAACTGCGATCGGTGGACCGCTATCATGGAGTTCATCTTCCGCTTGATGTCCTGCACCCGCATGTCCATCGCGGAGGCCACCCTCATCCAGGCATCGATCCTGTCCTGGCGATGGGTATGTGCCCGATGTTCGGTGTTCCATAACAACGTCTGATTCTGATAGGCCCGTATCAGTTTTATTGTGCTCTCCTCGTCCCACGCGACCTGATACGCGTTCCCAGCCGGTGGGGCACTCATTTCGCAACTAGAGAAAAGTTCTTTTAAGAGCTAAAAAATGTACGACTACGTACTGTTAAATAAAAGTCGAAAAAGCTTAAAATTGTACGATCCGCTCGAGTCTTCGGATGTATCTACCTTCGAATGCACTTTGAAATAACTACGTTTGAGCTCAGCTACGTTCTTTTTCTCCCTCTCTCTCTCTCGCTCTCTCTTGTGCTCTTTTGGTGTTAAGACTGCACTGAAAAATATAATTTGATCAATTTCAATATCGTTTTTTTGTGCTCTAAAATGTAAAAACATTTTTTTTTTGAGAATATCAGTTGGATATTATAGAATCAGGAATATATTTTTATAATATTAACTCGTTTTTAATATCAAATATAATATTTATATAATAACATTGCAGTTATGACACAAAAAAAATCTTCAGCAGCAGGATACGAACCTGGTTGTTTTGCGGGTAAAGATGCTCTATGATCCTACCACTGATTGCCCTAGAGGACTGTAAGAGATTAGTGTTCAGTTTTATAAACTTTAATATTATTTACAATTTTATAAGAAAGGCTTTCTTTTCTGTGTATAAATTTTTCTCTCTCCTTGAATTATCCACTATTGTTGAGCGAGAGCGTAGAGAGCTATTTGCTCTTGTTTAACGAAAAAGGCAGTTGGTTATGTAGATGTTTTGCAATAGCGGAGAGAAGTTTTTTTTTGAGAAAACGGTTACTAAAAAATCGTGTACCTAATTCCTGGCTTTTAAGCTCAACATGCATATATATATATTTTAAAATGAGAAGTCAACAAATCAATGTAATGCGAAGTGAGCGATCTCTGAGTAAAGAAAAGGCAATGCAAGTCCGCTTCTGTACTTTTGTATAAAATCTGTCAAATACCAGAAATAAAATTTTAAAATAACAGCACAAACATATATATTTTTTTATAATTTCATTTTTAAATTTTATTAAGATATAGTTCAAGTCCGAAATACGTTTAATAACCGTATCCTTGGCTGCAAGGAGCTGGTGTAAAAACGCTGCCGCAGCTGAAAACATAATTTTTGGGGCACGGAGGCGATGGAATCGAGGCTCCGCCGTAAGCGGGCGCCGGAGCAGCAGATCCGTAGGCAGCAGCGGTCCTTGCCATACCAAGAATATGATGATCCATTTCAGAACGAGCGTATCCTGACGATTTCGAGGCTGGTGCTGAATAACCGGACTTTGCTGGTGCCGAATAACCGGAAGATGCTGGTGCTGAATAACCTGAAGGTGCAGCAGAGGACGAGGTCTTCGATGCCGAATACGAAGGAGTCGCAGGTGCTGCAGGTGCTGAATATTCAGATGATGCTTTTGGTGCTGCAGGTGCGGAATACGCCCGACCTGAATGTCCGGCAGAGTAGCTTGATGATGCAGGTTGGGAATAAGACGGCGCTGCAGGCGCTGAATAGCTGGACGAAGCAGCAGGTGCGGAATACGATTGTGCTGGAGCTGCAGGTGCGGAATAAGATTGAGCTGGAGCTGAATAGCTGGATGAGGCAGGTGCTGAGTAAGAGGGAGCTGCAGGTGCGGAATACGATTGAGCTGGAGCTGCAGGCGCTGAATAGCTGGATGGTGCGGAATACGAATGAGCTGGAGCTGAGTAGCTGGATGATGCAGGTGGTGAGTAAGAGGGAGCAGCAGGTGCGGAATACGATTGAGCTGGAGCAGCAGGCGCTGAATAGCTGGATGGAGCAGCAGGTGCGGAATACGATTGAGCTTGAGCCGCAGGCGCTGAGTAGCTGGACGGAGCAGCTGGTGCGGAATAAGATTGAGCTGGAGCCGCAGGCGCTGAGTAGCTGGATGGAGCAGCAGGTGCGGAATAGGATTGAGCTGGAGCAGAATAGCTGGATGATGCAGGTGGTGAATAAGCGGGAGCTGCAGGAGCTGAATAGCTGGATGGAGCAGCAGGTGCGGAATACGATTGAGCTGGAGCCGCAGGCGCTGAGTAGCTGGATGGAGCAGCAGGTGCGGAATACGATTGAGCTGGAGCTGAATAGCTGGATGAGGCAGGTGGTGAGTAAGAGGGAGCTGCAGGTGCTGAATAGCTGGAAGGTGCAGCGGGTGCGGAATACGATTGAGGTGAAGCTGCAGGTGCTGAATAGCTGGATGGAGCAGCAGGTGCGGAATAAGATTGAGCTGGAGCCGCAGGTGCTGAATAGCTGGATGGTGCAGCAGGTGCGGAATACGATTGAGCTGGAGCTGAATAGCTGGATGAGGCAGGTGGTGAGTAAGATGGAGCTGCAGGTGCTGAATAGCTGGAAGGTGCAGCAGGTGCGGAATACGATTGAGGTGGAGCTGCAGGTGCTGAATAGCTGGATGGTGCAGCAGGTGCGGAATACGATTGAGCTGGAGCTGCAGGGGCTGAATAGCTGGATGGAGCTGCAGGCGCTGAATAGCTGGATGGAGCTGCAGGTGCTGAATACGATTGAGCTGGAGCTGAATAGCTGGATGATGCAGGTGATGAATAAGAGGGAGCTGCGGGCGCTGAGTAGCTCGGTGATGCAGATGGTGAATAAGCCGGTGCTACAGGAGCGGAGTGTCCTTGGTTCTTCGGCACCGAATAGCTGGACTTCGAATTGTAAACGACCGGAGCGGCATAGGCCTGCGCTGGAATTTCGCGAGTGTGTCGCTCCTCGTAGTCGAACTCCGTTTCCGGCAAACCCTCGTCGAACTCCTCATTTCCGGTGGTCGGAAGCGAAAACGCTGTGGCCCAGAGGCAACCAATGGCCGCGAAGATCAGCAGTCGTTGTCCACTCATAGCTCACTGAATTTTGACTAGAGTTTCGTAGAACGGGACGGGTTTTATATGGCCAAGAGGAAAACAGATCAGCAAAATCAGAATATTGCTCAATTGCAGTCTGTTGGTGGTTTGAATTATCGGTGGATTGTCTTTGTGCTATTCCGCATTTGGAGTGGTTTCATTTAAATTTGCTGGAATCGATCGTTTTGCACTCTGCACTCACTTTTATTTTTAACGCGAAGAGTTGAGTCGGCGTGTTGTACGGAAACCTTGTTAGAACATTTTAATACCCTTTTCATTTATTTACCTAGCTTTAAAGTCATGCCAGCTTAAAGTCATTGTTATGTACAATTTTGTAATGCATTTTTTCTAAAAGATAGGGCATCTTCTTTTTAGGTTTTGATATACATAAAGATTATAAAGCCTTAAGAATTGGTGTACAAATTGTTTTTGCATGTTTAGCTTTAAAGTATAACATTGCTTCATTATTATTTGAAGCCGCAACTTTTAAGCTCGTCAATAACTCTAAGAGAAAAGTGTATGCAAAGTAATTAGTTTAATTATGCGTCAGCACTTTCGTTAAAAAAACTCGGTCATCGATGGAATGCTGAGCTGTCAATATGTGGGTTGAATTGCTGCTTGAATTACAAAAAAGAAAAAATAATTGTAAGCTACATATGTAATAAGTTAGGCAATAATATAAGTAACGAGTTTTCACTTTTGAACACAAGCGAATTTATCGTTTTTAAACTAACAAACTATTCTGATACCAAATTATTATGATTTTTTAAAGCACTTTTTATTATTTTGATAAAATATAAAACATATACAAATTTGTAAATGTTTTTCAAAAACCTAACTTTAGTGTTGCTTGCTCTTTTCAAGCATCAGCAGATACATTTTAAAATTCCTTCAACAACAAATTTAAATTAATTCTTTTTTATTTATTGTTCTTGGTCTAAATAACAAGCAACCATTTTACATTCCATTTAAAACTAAAAAACTCGACAACGAAGTATATCAGTTTGTTTTTATTTATTATTTAAAAATTAATTTTTAAACCTGATTTTTAACCATAAAGGCTCTAAAACTGTAAAATTCAAAATGTCGCGCCATTTACAACACTGTTTCGTAGAGTGACCGTGCTCGCCCAAACTAAGCGTTCGGTGTCGGCGTGCGACGGGCACACTCGCGGCCGAATCAACACGTCAACGCGGCGACTCGACTCGTTTTATTATAAACCGCACTCGAATTTCACGTTGTGAATTGAATAATTAACAATTATTTGCTCTGCTGAATAAAAGTCGATTGGCGAGTGGAAGAAGAGTCGCGAAGGACAGCTGGAAGCGACGAACAAAACGGGACACGTAAGTGGAAAGCCGCACTTGGCTGGAAAGTTGAAAGTATGGGCGGCGGGGAGAGGCGGGGACCACAGACAGCTGCTTGCGTTGCAAAAAAAAAAAAAAATGAAAAAATAGAAGTGAAAGAGAAAGAGAAAGAATTGCGGAAGAAATGTGGAAGTAAAGGAAAAGGTTATTGCTCTTTTCACCAATTTACGTCAAAAATCTCCTGGAAAAGTATTTCTCCCCCGTTAATATTTCACCGGTAAACTATATATTTCTCGGCTGCCACATGAGCATTACTTAAAATTTTTCTCCAATAATTCAGTTTTTAGTGTTCTGTTCCATACAGGATGTGTACAATCTGTTAAAAATCGAAGTATTAATAACTAAATTTATTGTGTTATTAAATATCCTGTATCCAAGAAGATTTGTATTGGAAGTATAAAAGTAACCCATAGATTTCCTTAAATTAATCTGTGAAAAAGAATTATAATTATATACATTATATACATTTTAATTGTAGTACAAGTTGTTATGTTTCTTCAGATTTTTACTTTTATTCATGGAATTTGTGAAATCGATTCACAAAATTTAATATTCAAGTTCCAATTTCGGGGTATTTATTTTATTAAGTTTTCGAAAGATCTCGAAAGATCTATCAAATTCCTTATAGACCATACCGGCAAAGATATATTAATGTTTAAACAAATGAACTATTTTTAAAAAATGTAGTCAAGAACATAATAACTTCGTTGCCGAATGGTCTAGCAAGAGATTAAGAAAGAAATTATGTCCTTATAAATCATAAATAAACATTCTTTATGAAAAACCTTGAAGAAAACTAAAAAATAACAATTTTTGATGGAAAAACTGCAGGAAAAACTCTTAATCTACCCAATTTTACCAACCATATTATCTACTTGTTCCTATAAAAAAAAATCTACAAAACTAAACATTTTTTATGAAAAATCTTAAAGAAAACTTAAAGAATAGACATTTTTGATGAAAAGCCTGCAGGAAAATCTCATATGATCACTTCTTTCTATAAAAAACGATGTCCGTAAAAATTGTACATGCAAGATTTCTGAAAAGCCTGTTAATCCACCCAATTTGTACCACATTACCTACAGACCATGAAACTCGTGCTCTTACTGAGCGCCCTGCTGGCGGGGATTGCCCTTTCCCAGGGCGCCGCCGTGATGTCCGTGGATTTGGGCAGCGAGTGGATGAAAGTGGGCGTCGTTTCGCCCGGAGTGCCCATGGAAATCGCCCTGAATCGCGAGTCGAAGCGCAAAACCCCGGCGATCCTGGCCTTCCGCGATGGCGTGCGAACCATCGGCGAAGATGCCCAGACCATCGGGATCAAGGATCCCAACTCGGCCTACGGTTATCTGCTGGATTTGCTGGGCAAGACCATAGATAATCCCATTGTGGATTTGTATAGGTGAGTAGTAGTGTACATCGGTGGGCCACGTCATTGCGTTGCGCTCTGTAATGAGTTATCGCCAACGACCAATTTGTTTTGTTTTATTTTTTTATTTTAGGAAACGCTTTCCCTACTACAATATTGTGGGCGATCCGGAGCGCAACACTGTGGTTTTCCGCAAAAGCGAAACCGAGGAGTTCTCCGTGGAGGAGCTGGTGGCCCAAATGCTGGTCAAGGCCAAGCAATTTGCCCAGGAGTCCACACAGCAGCCAATCACCGAGTGCGTGCTCACAGTGCCCGGCTATTTCGGGCAGGCGGAACGAGAGGCTCTGTTGTCGGCCGCCCAGTTGGCCAATCTGAAGGTGCTCCAACTGATCAACGACTATGCGGCGGTGGCCCTCAACTATGGCGTCTTCCATCGCGGCGAGATCAACGAGACGGCGCAGTATTACCTCTTCTACGACATGGGTGCCTACAAAACGTCAGCGGCTGTGGTCAGCTATCAGCTGGTGAAGGACAAACAGACCAAGGAGATCAATCCGGTGGTGCAGGTCCTGGGCGTTGGCTATGATCGCACCCTGGGCGGTCTGGAGATTCAGTTGAGGCTGCGCGATTACCTGGCCAAGGAGTTCAATGCCCTCAAGAAAACGAAGACCGATGTGACCACCAGTCCGCGTGCTCTGGCCAAACTTTTCAAGGAGGCGGGACGCTTGAAGAATGTCCTGTCCGCCAATACGGAATTCTATGCCCAAATCGAGAATCTTCTGGAGGACATTGACTTCAAGCTGACCGTGTCGCGTGAGAAACTGGAGCAAATCTGCGAGGATCTCTGGCCCAGGGCCACCAAGCCATTGGAAGAGGCGCTGGCCTCGTCGCACCTCAGCTTGGATGTGATCAATCAGGTGATACTGTTCGGCGGCGGCACACGAGTGCCACGTGTCCAGGAGACGATCAAGGCACTCATCAAGCAGGATCTGGGCAAGAATCTGAACGCCGATGAGTCCGCCACCATGGGTGCGGTTTACAAGGCAGCCGACCTGTCGGCCGGCTTCAAAGTGAAGAAGTTTGTGGTCAAGGATGCCACGCTGTTGCCCCTGCAAGTGTCCTTCGAGCGGGATCCCGGCGATGGTGCGGCCGTCAAGCAGGTGAAACGTGTCCTGTTCGCCCTGATGAATCCCTATCCGCAGAAGAAGGTCATCACCTTCAACAAGCACACCGATGACTTTGAGTTCTATGTGAACTATGCCGACCTGGATCGCTACAGCAAGGATGAGATCGCCGCCTTGGGCAGCCTGAATGTGACCAAAGTGCAGCTGAAGCAGGTGAAGGAGCTGCTGGAGAAGTCGAAGAAGGAGTCGGTGGACAACAAGGGCATCAAGGCCTACTTTTACCTGGACGATTCCGGCATTTTCCGCTGCACGGGCGTGGAGTATGTGTACGAAAAGCAAAAGCCCGAGGAGGATGCCGATGAGGACAGCACCCTGTCCAAGCTGGGCAGCACATTGAGCAAGTTGTTCGCCAAGGAGGGTGACGACAAGAAGGAGGACCCCGAGCAGGTAGAGGAGCCAACCAATGCTGGCGAAGAGCCGGCATCCAAGACCGAGGACAGTGAAAAGCCCAAGGAGGAGGAGGCCAGCAGCAAGGAGCAAAAGTCTGAGGAGAATGGCAAACAGGAGGCCGAGGCCAAGAACGACACCATCAAGCTGATGACGGTCAAATCCCCTGTGACCTATGAATCGCAGACGCAATTCACCATTCCACTGACCGGTTCTGCGTACGACATCTCCCTGGCCAAACTGGCGGCCATCAACAAGGCGGAGGAGCAGCGTGTCCGCTTGGAATCCGCCTTCAATTCTTTGGAGGCCCACATCATCGAGGTGCAGCAGAAGTTGGAAGAGGACGCCTATGCCAAATGTGTGACCGACGAGGAGAAGGAGAAACTGCTGGCCGAATGCAGCACTTTGGGTGAATGGCTGTACGAGGATCTCGATGATCCCAAGGCGGAGATCTACGAGGAGAAGTTGGCACAGCTGAAGAAGCTGTCCAATGTCTTTTTGGCCCGTCACTGGGAGCACGAGGAGCGACCGGAGGCCATTAAGGCACTGAAGGGCATGATTGATGGCGCCGAAAAGTTCCTGGTCACCGGACGCAATCTCACCAAGGACACGAATCCCGAAAAGGATGTCTTCACCCAGGTGGAGATCGATACGCTGGCCAAGGTGATAACCGAAACGAACGCTTGGCTGAAGACGGAGACGGCGGCCCAGAAGAAGCTGGCCAAGAATGCCGATATCCGGCTGACCGTCAAGGATATTACAGATAAAATGAGCCTGCTGGATCGCGAGGTCAAGTATTTGGTTAACAAGATCAAGATCTGGAAGCCCAAGGTGAAGCCCGCCGCTGAGAAGGAGAAGAAGAACAAGGCGGAGGGAGAGGAGGCCACATCCTCCAGTGGCAGTGGCGATGGCTCCTCCAAGGCGGAGAACACCGAGGAGCAGCAGGACCAGCAGGAGCAGCCAGAGAAGGAGAAGGTGCAGCAAGAGCCTGTGGAGGAGATCACTCCAACGCCCACAGAGCAGGAGGAGGAGGCCAAGACCCCGCACAGTGAGCTGTAAGAAGAAGAAGCATCCAGGAGCATCCGGAGCAGCAGGAAGCCAAGTGCCTGTCTTAGGATTCGAGGAAGGATTCAAATCGGGGGATTTAACGGGGGGAAAAAGACGGCAAATGGTCACGAAACGCGGGGGCGTCTTAATTTCTATGATTTTTTTTAGCTAAAGACGGGGTTAAATTATGCTACTTCTAATCTAAAACAAAAAAGAAAAAAAACACACAAAAACCACACACAAATAATGTAAACCGTAACTAAACTAAATGTAAAAAAAAAAAAACATTTTCCATTTTCCATACCATTCCGCATAGGAAATACAAGACTTGAAGAAGTACTCACACACGATCCCCTTCTATATATCCAAAATATCTTATTGATCGTAGCGAAAGTAGCGAAACGAATTGGGCGGGGAGCGGAGTTAAGATCGTAATAAATCTGAAATCGTACAGAGCGAAAGAGAAGCGAATAAAATTTGTATTGTATTGTAAACGGATTCGTCTTTTCACAACCCTCAGAATTTTATTTAAAACTGAAGGAGCTCTTTTTTGTAGCTGCGTTTCTATTTCATTGGGAGATCTCAAATATTATGTGAAAAACAATAGGTGAACTATTTTTTTTGTTACCCGTTTTATTCCAATTGCGTTTTCTAAAATTCTACTTTCGGTTTTACAAACTTGGATTTATTTTAAAAATTATTTTCAAGATGCCTGGCTTTAAAAATTATTCCTTGAAAATTAAGAAAATGGTGTAAGTAAGGTGGTAATTTTTGTAGATTTTTTTAAAAGTATGTAAAAGTTTAATTTATTTTGTAATAATAAAATAATAATAATAGAAAATCGTACAAGTAATATTACAAGTGCCGTTTTTATACCCTTGCAGAGGGTATTATAGTTCTAGTCGAAAGCTTGCTAGAATAGTCCATCCTCCTTTCTCGCTTTCGAGGCTCGCTCTCTCTCGCTTGCACCCGTGCTTGCGTAATTATTATTTTGATTACTTCAGGCCTTAAACAATAATCCTTATCTAGACCTGCGTTGCTGTTTTTTTTGGACACAATCCAAGAATCAGTGGGAGATAAAATATATATTATTATACATATATATATTTTAATTAAAAACTACTAATGCGACGCTTAGTGTAAATTTCTATGGTTGCCACAGTGTTGGCTCACCGCAACATTGCCAGACTGTTGGCCAGGGGCTATCGATATTTTATAACTTTGAACTTTTAACGGTACAAAATGTAGTTTGTTTAAATAATTTTTTATTTTTATAAAATGTTGTATTTATAAAGGTTTTTTTTTTAGTAAAGAATTTCAGTTGTTTTATTTTATTAGCACATAGTCAATATCCACATGTTTAGTTAAATATCATTGAACTGTAAGTTTTAGTGTTATTTATTTCATTTGGGAAAAGCATCGTTTGTAAAACTATTCTGTAAAACTATTCTGCGCAAAGTCTTGTCAGGCATATTTATTTATTTTATTTTTTTTAATTTAATTATGCAAAGTCTATCTTAAAGCTCTTCATAGGGCCTACATAGAAACGAAATGTCTTTATAAAATAAACAGTTAATATCCTCAACTTTACAATTTTATGTTGAATTTACCTGATAAAACAGTAAAAATTAGATTTAGATTAGAAAAATTAAATAGTAAGAAACTAAAAAAGGACAAACTAAGGAAAGCAGCTCATTCGCATAATTTATGATTGAAATTTGCTTAAAAAAAGTATCTGGTAGATTATGGTAATTATATGCCATTTTTTTTTTTTTGGGTAAAAACCGATTGAAAGAGAATTTGGAAAATGACAGCACTGATCTTTTCGCATTAATCGATCGATCGGTATTTTCAAGACGAGCTTTTTGTCGAAGCGAAAGTAACGGTTTGCAGTCCGGTGAATGTGAGCCAGGCAAATAAAATCGATTGAATTGAATTTAAAATGCCAATTATGATGCTTGCTTGGATCGCAGTGCTGCTGGCTGGACTGCCAGGATTAAGGATCTGCCGGGCGGAGGATCTGCTGGAGCTGTCCTGCAGCTCGGACGCACAGTGCGCGCAATTCGAGCGTGGTCGGTGCCTGGACATGGTCTGCACCTGCACGGCACGTGGCGCCGGCGAAAGGGTGACCTGTGCGCCGTTGGAGAAGAAGCTGACCAACATCATTGGTGGACCCTGTCCATGTCCCATGCCCCATGCCGACTGTCATCCGCGGTGGGATCAGTGCCTCTGCTCCGCCGGCCATGTGCCCAGTGGCGATCGGCGTCGCTGTCTGCCGGAGGCAGTTGCTCCGGGCGGCGAATGCGAGTTCCATCGGCAGTGCCAGCTGGCGGATCGGTTCAGCTCGTGCTCTGGGGGCCAGTGCATCTGCACTGCCCAATTCGAGCTCCACGAGGGACGCTGCCTGGCCGTGCTGCGTGAGTACACTGAGAGAAATCCTAAGTGGCCTGATTTTATATAAGTTCTTCAACTGCATTTTACATAAGACCTATATAAGAGAAAACTTAATTTTTAATTCGGTGTCTAAAACATCTTTAAATCTAGCCAATTTTTCCGAAATTTGACAGCTTTGAGCGTTTAATTTGTTTCTACAAAAAAAAATTTTTTTGTTTTAACCAATAAAACCATAAAATATTAAACAAAAACAATAAAATCATAATTACTTAAAGCCTAAATTTAATTAAGATTTTATTAAAAATCTAAATTATAATTGTACTTTCGAATTTTAATTTATTTTAACATCTATTTTTTAGAATTGAAAGTAATTTTCTTTTATTATTTTTAAACCTCTCCTTTCTATATTATTAGATGTCAAACAAGCTGAAACATTTTTTCCTTTTGATTTTCAATTTCTTTGGATATCTTCATCTTTTAAAATTGAAAGTAATTTTCTCTCATAATTTTAAGAGCACTTTTTTCAATATTTAATTTTGAATTTACTATAATAAATTTATCTTTAGCTTTTAAAATTGAAAGTAATTTTCTTTGTTATTTATAAACCTTTCCCTTTTATACTATTAATTATCAAATTAGTTTACAATTTTTTTCATTTTGAATTTAAATTTATTTTGTTAATTTATGTTTAGAAATTTCTTTCCTTATTTTGAAAAACTTTCCTTTCAAACAAATTATTTCCTTTTGAAGTGCAATTAATTAATTAACTAAATTTCACAGAATCCATCTGCGGCGTGGACAAGGATTGTGGGAGCTGTGGCGCCTCCCTTTGCCTGACCAAAGTGAAGAAGTGCGGCTGTGCCGCGGGCTACGTTCACAACCACAACATGACCAAGTGCGTCACGGGATCCGGCTACGGGGCCAGCTGCGAGCACAGTGCCCAGTGCAAGGTTAAGCTTGGGGGCGATGGCAAGTGCCTGGATCACCTATGCGGCTGTCGGCCATCGCACTACCCCAGAAGGGTAGCCAACGCGGTGGCCAAGGAGTGGGAGCCGGAGGAGGAGGACCAACGGGAGCGGATCACCTGCGAACCCATTGTGCCCTTCGGAGCACTCTGCCTGCACGATGACCAGTGCCGGATGCAGTCCCTCCTGGTGGAGACCAATGGAACAGTGCCAGCACCCATGGTCTGCAAGTGGGGCGAGTGCTCCTGCAGTGAAAACCATCGACTGGAGGACAACAAGTGCATCCGTGTGGAAAGTGGAGCCTCACGCATGCAGCATCACCCACGAGCTTTCCTTCTCCTCGCTTTGCTCCAGTTTACAATGATTCTTTATTATGGTGTATAGTAAAACAAAAAATAGTTATTGTTAAACTTATGTATGAATAGAAAGAATGAACAGTTGTAGAACAAATCAGAGACCGATCCTGGACGGCGTGCGACGGGGCGTGGCATTGCCCGGTGTAGCGATCTCCTGCTTGGCGGCCAGCTGCTCCTCCCTATCGGCCGCCTGCTGTTTGCGCTCCTCCATCTCGTGCTGGGCCTTCAGCATCTGCTCCTCCATCTCCTTGAGATGCTCCGCTGCCTGTTTCTTCTTCTCGCGGCCACTGCGACCGGACTCCTTGACGGAGAAGAACATGGGTCCCAGCTCGGCCAGCCAATAGCCATCGACGGCGGTGGCGCACTGCATGTACTCCTTGGCCGTCATGATCAGCTCATGGTAGACGACATAGTCGGGTGTGGTGCCCAACCCATACAAAGCGGACGTGGGATGCAGATGGCAGGGCATGCCCGTACGCAAGTTCACATACTCCCCGATGCCCTTCAGCCTGGCCGCCTGGTAGAAGTACGCCGAGCAGATGCACTTGCGCACTATGTCCCAGTCGGTGCCGCAGCTCTTCACGCTCAGATTCTGCTGCAGCATGATGTCCTTCAGCTGCTGACGCACCTCGCGCACCTTCCGCATCGCCTTGATGTGGATGAAGTGCTCGTTGCACCACGACGAACTGTAACTGTGTGTAGAGGATTTTTTAAAGAATTAGTGGGACTAGAATTTCTGGCCGGGATTGGACAGAGTTTGGTGACTTACTTGTTCTGGCGCCACTGCTGATACACATTGAGGTAGGTCAGGTGGTCGGACTCGGGCACCTGGAACTTTTCGCGCACTCCATCAGCCTCCTCCTCGCGGCCCTTCGGTCGGTAGAAGATCGACGGCACCGACAACATGGACACTGGGTGCGAAAAAATTACACTTGTGCATCAATACATTTTGTGGCAAGAGCAGGGAATTATCAATTATAGTGTTTAATAACTGGTAAGGAAGTAAAAACTAGTACACAATTATCAACATACACAAAAAGGTATTAACTAACAGTTGCGGTCAAAAGAATAGTATTTTCTTAGCTTATGGAAATAGCAATCAAAAGTTTGGTAGCAGCTAATGAAACATTTGGCAAATATTAAAATCAACATTTATCATAGGTATAATATTTTGAAAAAATATTAGTCTTTTAAAAATAAAAAAAAAATTTAAATTTTCAATTTAAAAAATAGATCAGATACTAAAAATATTTGTTTTGCAATAAGAAGTGTAGATGGACGAGAATTTATCTAAATTTTTTAAATTGTGGTAACAAATTTTTAACCGATTGACATTTTTAAATAATATTTATTTCATTGCTACCAATTTTTGCAAAAAAAAAAACAACAACATGAGAATACAAAAATTAGTGCTTAACGATTGAAAGAATTGTCTATAATAGGATTTTTCAACTTTGTATGCAAGTTCCAGAAACATGGATAATGGTTGAATTTCTTCAATAAAGCAATGCTGAATTTTATTTATAAATTAAATTTTTAAACCAATGACAAGCATCGGATTTTCCTATCTTAACAAAACTGTGGGTGGTGAAAAATTATTTTATATAGGACTTAAGATATCTTGAAAAATTACAAATGAAAATTACAAAAAGTTTGATTTTGTGTGTCAGAATTATATAAACATAAAAATTAATAAAAAAAAAAAACATTTTTTTTTACCTATAATCAGGACCTCGGCGCTGCACTGGATGCGACAGGCGACGATGAGCATCTGGCACTGGGGCGGGTCCAGCGGGAACTCGGCCATCTGGCGACCCAGCGTGGTGAGGGCGCCGGTGTGGTCGAGGGCACCGAGGATCCACAGCTGGTACAGCGAGTTGAGGATGTTGTCCTGGGGCGGGGGATCCATGAAGTGGAACTGCAGCAGGTCGACGACGCCGAGCGACTTGAGCAGCAGCACCGTGTTGGCCAGATTGGTGCGCTGGATCTCCGGTACGGTGAGGGCCAGCAGCTCGTCCTTGTACTGACGCTGTGTGTAGAGCCGGAATGCCTGGCCAGGACCTGTGCGTCCGGCACGGCCACTGCGCTGATTGGCATTGGCCTGCGATATGGGATAGATCTGCAGGGCGTCCATGCCGATGCGTGGATTGTAGACCTTCAGCTTGCAGTAGCCGGAATCGATGACGTAGATGATGCCATCGACGGTCAGCGATGTCTCCGCAATGTTGGTGGCCACCACACACTTGCGCACCCCATCGCCGGATTTCTGGAAGATCTTGGCCTGCAAATCCGACGGCAGTTGCGAGTATATGGGCAGAATGCTCAGCTCCGGCGCATTGTCGATCTCCGCCAGGCGCTCCTCCAGCACCTCGCACGTCACCTCGATGTCCTCCTGGCCGGGCATGAAGATGAGCATGTCGCCCTCGTTGGGCGTCAAGTGCACCTGCAGTGCCTGTTTGACAGCCGATTCCACGTAATCCTCGCACGTGTTCTTGCTGAACATCACGTCCACGGGAAACGTCCTTCCGGGTATGGTAAATGTGGGCACATTGCCGAAGAAGGTCGCAAACTTGCTCGAGTCCATCGTGGCGGAGGTCACGATCAGCTTCAGGTCATGTCGCCGGGCCACAATCTAAAGTAAGTGGTTTAATCAGGGTGAGTCCTCGCTTTATAATGTTAAAGTATGTATGTATATGTTAATTTGCAATACTTGAGTGGTGAAATAAGGATATAAAATATAATAAATGCATTCAGTTTGTAACTAAAATCTAACTAAAGGAAGGGGGTTTCCTCGCTGCAGGGGGGCTTTTCTAATGGAGGCCAGTTACAAATGTCAGTTACAAATGTGACCCACATCCCGTCCAGCTTTGCGCTGCAGTCGTTGACCCTGCAGTGGGTCAAGGCGTCTCCCTGGCTAAGTGCCCTAGAAAGCGCAATCATTTGGACTACAACATACCCAGTATATATAAAACAAAATTATATTCATAGAAAATAAACTATTTGGGCTTGATTTCTAAACTATTGAGTATGAAATATGTGTGCCCATTTTTTTAATATTTTAAATTATAGTTCTAGTTTTTAAAATCAACAACAGTGGTTAAGGAAACAATATCCCCCTGAACTTTACAAGTAAGGGGGATATTGAAAGACTCAGAGATTCTACGAGATTTTCTGGAAATTTCGTTTGGCGACTCCTGCCTCCACAAGTTTGGTGGAGGTGAAGGTGAAATCAGGACAACTAAGAGAGCACTCAATTCACCACACCCCCACAGGATGAACGAGGAGAGCAGAGAGCTAATGCACCGAGACCACATCGGGTTTTTAAGCTTCGGATTCGATTCGCCTCGTGGTGGATTCACTGGTTCCAAGGGGTTGCGATTGGGGTAACGGTTTTGGGGAGGGCTGAGATGGAATGAGGTGAGTGTGAGGCGGACGTGCCAACACACACGTAGGCACTTGCAAAGAAATACTTTAAAATAAACCCCAGTACAGCGGTTTCAAATCGGAGTCCAGGGGATTTCAAATGATACTTTTAAAGGGAGTATCAATGTTATTATTACTACTACTATTTCTAACTTTTTCTTGACTATTTGAGTTTATTATGTTAATATGCACGTGTTGTAATAATAACAATGATAGTGTTAACAATAATAATGAGAATAATGACTAATGACCATAACTAAGGAAAGTGTGAGTTAAAGCATTTTAACATACAATTTGTTTTTGATAATGCATAGTGGAATTGATCAAAGGATTTGCATCGCTCTATGACAATTAACTTGAAATTCAGCCAAACCCCAAAGACAAAATGTAGAATTAGAAATGATGCAAATCAATAGATCTTTAACTGCTCCCAGCCCACCTTATCCAATATTCAACCCAATGCCGATTGCAATCCCATCCAAAATCGAATGGCAAGCAAACTGCGCATTAGAAGAACTTTCGCATTGCTCGACCACCCATCACCCACCACCCACAGGTCCACGATTCGCAAACCCACTCGTAATGCGGTTTATTATGCAGCTTATCTGCATGCACATGATATACATACATACATGCATGATACACATACATACGTGCACACATATAAAGTCGTTCGCAATATTTATGATGCTGGCGAAGGCGTAAGGGACAATAGAAGAGAGATCCGGAGGAGAGGTAATGGTAAGATATCGCAATCGTTCCGTTATCTCCGCAGATGACGTCAGGTGGGCGTTTACGATAGTCACTTCTACATGTACATATATTATGCATACACATATGTATGTGTATACACCTGCGCTTATCGCTGATTTGGCAATATAAGCGAATTTCTTCAATGGATATGGCACGGATATAAATCACCATAAAGTAATCACAATTGCAATATCATAATGAGGGGAACAAATGGTACAGTGGTGATACGCTAATATGAAAATGTTCTTTTTATAAGTTTTATTTGAATGGCAATACTTATAATATCGTTTTGCAACTCTGCTACAAATGAGCAGAACCTTATCTCTTGTACTCCATGGATCCATGATAATAACTAATTCTAGATTGATTTTCAATTTCTCAAAGAAGATAAACATTCGTTCGAATCGAACTCTATAACCGGTAAAATAATATGATTAGTTGTATTCATATTGTTACCGGTTTTATACCTTGTTCAAAGGTTTCTTGTTTAAGAATTTACTCTACAAGTTCAAGGTAATCAATAAGTTTACAATGGCCATATAAGTGCACTTCTATTTTGCAAATTCCACTACTTAAAAGACCTAATTTCCGGACGTCGTCGTTCTATTGTCTTTTATCTCACTTTCCGGTCACAATCTCAAGGTCGTTGATTAAACTAACGTCTCTGTGGTCATGTGCTTTCCGAACCTACCCCCACTAATATTCAACCACGTTAAACTATAAATACATATGTATATTGTATGGACTTTTATAAGAATATGAAATTTTTGTTAGCTGATAATGCTGGCGGGGATTAGAATGTGCAAATATGCCGTACCCCGATGTCTTACTCACTTTCCGTCATTCTTAAGATCTCGTTGTCCCAAGTTGAAGGCATTATTTCACCAGTCGCATCGACTCATGACTAACCTCACTGAC